AAATTAAAATATCATTAGAGTTTTACAACTCAACAAACTTGTCTATCACGAAATTCACCCCTATAAATACAGGGTTTTGCAATGTAGAGTAATCCTTCAACTCAACACACACTCAAATGCTATACGCGAAAGCTTCTCACGTCCCTGCGAAAAATACCATCATAACCCTTCATCAACACATCTTCAGTTTAGTTTAACAACACTGTGTTGGCAACTGCAGACATCTCAGTTTGGGTTAACAACATTACTTCTAATTGGTTTGTTGTCTATACAAGTCTTTGCAAGTGAAGAGTTTGCAATTCTTTAGTCAAAAGATGCCACTTCATAGCTTCCTAGTGAAGTATAATGTTCTCCAATCGGTTACTCTTAGGTGCACTTCAAAGTTCCGCATTCAAGCTATCAACACACCATAAAAGTGTTTATATCCTTTAAGTATCTTTACCCCTATAGCCTGATACCGATTCAGCGCTCATTTTCTCACAAATATAGTTGAAGTTGTCGAGCCTGGTGGAGATGATCCTAAACTTCACAGTGAATTAAGTAACCTTATTTTCATGTTCTAAAACCTTAGGCCGAGAGTGTTCCTTCCTCAGCCATAGTTACTAGGGATGGGCAAATACACATTGGTTATGGGTAACCGCGGTTACCCGCCCATTTAAATTAAATGGTTACGGTTATGGGTAACCGTTTAGATAAATAAACGGTTATGGGTATAACCGTTTACCCGCGAAATTTAAATGGGCGGTTATGGGTATTAACCGCAGGTATAAACGGGTAACTGTTTACCCATTTATTTTATATATGTAAAACTAACACAAACCATGTTCTCGATCCAATAATACTTAGCACCCAATAAATTAGCAAGGAATTCATCGGTCTTTCTCTCAATAACACTGCTACAAGAATGATGATTCTCATCATCAAGGAATTGGCCAAATTAATTTAAATTCCTTGCGGGTAACCGTGAAATTGACAAAAATGCTTTGACATAAATATCTTCTAAACAATTTTTGTAACCCAATAATACTTGGCAAATATTATATTTACCTTCATTGATAACAGTTAAAAATATCGTCTGTAAACTATTATTTCAATTATTGGAATGGTATAAGGACTTAAAAAATTAAAATATGAAAATGTATGATGAATGTACCTATAACGGTGTTTAATTGTCAAAAAAAAGAAAATTATGACAATTTTTTTTAATTTTCAAGTTGTTAAAAAACATGTTGACGGGTGAAAAATGGGTAATGGTAAAAAAAAGAAGATAAAATGGTTAAAAAAGATAAAATAGGTAAACGGGTATTAAATGGTTACGGTTAAATGAGTATGCGGTTATGGGTATAATTAATCGTTTATAAACGGTTATGGGTATGAATATAACCATTTAGGCAATTACCCAACGGGTAAACGGTTACGAGGGTATGAGCATAAACGGTTATGGGTAAATAATCGCGGTTACCTACCCGCCATAACCGTTGCCCATTCCTAATAGTTACCCAAGTGCAGAAGTCATCAACGCATTTGACTCCTCACTACCACATCCATTTTACTCGCCCAACCGTGCTCGATTGCAAGTTAACATACTCACATTACCAGAAAAACGTAGTTACCTCATTAGTACCTTGGTCTGTGCACCTTGTAGGCTTTGTAATTTACAGGATCAACAATTTCTCAATTAGTTTCTTATCCCTACTAAACATATTTATAAAAATTGTATTTCCCATCCCCTAGAAAATGACGAGACATTTATGAGAATGAATATCTTTCCGCATATCAAATAGTCTTCCCAAAACGGAGAATACAAATGTCTTGTTTTATTCATCGCATGCATGGAGATTTAATCTGGACAATAATAAGAGTGGAGATTGTCCTCACTTCTAACAAGGTAAAAAATGTTTAGGATTACAAGATGAACTGAAAATGTTTAGGATTACAAGATGATTCAGTTCATCAGAGGGCTAACTTCTCATCCAAATAAATAGCTCTACACAATCTAAACTGCTACGATCCATCCATCCATATCCATGCAGGATTACTCAAAAGCTAATTCAGTTTCATCAGATGGCAAACATTTCAAGCTCCACAGCAAGAATAAATTTTCAAGCAATTCGGTCATAGTCGTATACTTGCTTTATAGAATTTTATCAACACAACTAAAAGGAAATAAGCACTGTTTGGAGCCTTCTTATTTTCTATCAGAAATTTCTTGTAAGAGGTATGTAGCTGAATTGTTTTAAGATCATTCACTCCTGCATCCAAGGTCTTGAGTTCAATTCCCCCTCTCCCAATTCCATTTGTATTATAAAAACTTACAAGTAATTTCAACTGCAATTATTTTCTATACATGAAAAGCATTACCTCAATGAAGGTCCCAGGTTAGAAATTTCACTGAATCACTACAAATGTTTTAATATTTCCTGCGAAGTCCTCATTATATATATAGCTTATAAGCTATCAAATTAATTATAAACAGCAGGACAATACACATAATTTGGGTTACGAATCTAGACTCATTTCCATGGCAACTCCATGTATGGACTTCTTAAATGAGTAACTAACATGCTTGAAGCAATGACAACAAAACCAGAGAGAGAGAAAGAGAGAGAGAGAGAGAGAGAGAGAGAGAGCGAATTGCCACCAACCTGCCTAAACTCCAAACACTATCGTCATTCGAATTATGCAATTACAACTTTTATGATTTCTTAATTATCAAAAAATCAAAAAAAATTATAATGCAGAACCGAACACAGGCAAAGTGCTTCAACTCAATTGCAAATATTTGGTACTCTTCAAGAAAGAAGTTTCTATATATTCTTTACACCCCAAGGTACACATATTCAAGCCTAAACCTATATTAAGTAAGGGATCTCTCAATTATGTTCAACAAGAAGACAGACTTGGAGCCAGTGACGAAAAGACTGATTTCGAGGCATGGAAGACAGCCCTTCGTTAGGATTAGTTACTCAAATACTTCACCAAACAAAAGATAAATTTTCTCTTCGTCTACAAATGAATTGCAGTGTAATTTTAGGTGACTCCTTATCTATATTAGGTTTAGCCTTTAGAGTTTGAACATGTGTTCGTGCATTCAAAAATCTCTTAGCAGACTTTACCGGGATTAATTGATTGATTTACATTAGATGACTCCTTTAGAATATAATTCTTAATTCTTGTTTAATTCATTTCTAATGCTTCGTTCGCTGAAAGATCTCAATTTTATTTAGTTTATCAACCTAAATTAACTACAATGATTCTGATGTCTCTACCTAACACCCCCCCCCTCCCAAAAAAAACATTTTAATGTCATTCCAAATTAGTCTCAACTTTTTTAAACATTCCAAACAAGTACTCAACCGATTAAAAATGTCACATCCGTTAAGCCCTTGTTAATTTTTCAATCATTGATTATATTTAGAATCTACCAAAATTTGGTAGATTATGGTCAACATTAATAGTAGTTGCCTCAAAATTTGAATTTCAAATATAGATTATGTAATATAGAACCTAATTAACAAACGAGTTTTTGAATTGAATAAAAAATGGACCCAAACTGAAATTACATTAGGAGAGTAATCTTCTAACAAAAAGGAGAGTTAAGAATTCAAATAAGATTTCAAGGAGTTTGCTTCGGCTTACATAATTTTCTCATACGCCGGTTCTGAGCTTGTAAAGCTTCCAACTCTTTTTTGTGGGCAGTTAAGATGGTGGTGGCAGCATCATAACAGTCTATACCATTTCAGCAACCTCCATGATTTCTTTCTCGATGTTGGCAGCTCGATAGGGTGGGATGGTGGTTTTGTGTTGGGTTTGGAGGTGATGTCATGATGGAGGTGGTGGTGACCGTTAATTCGTGGAGCCTATGTTTCCTTGGCCTTCTACTGATTTTGATGACAAAGTAAACCCTAATTAATTTACCAGATTTTTATCTCTTAACAGATGTGACTTTCAATAGCTTGGATATCTGTTTGGAATGTTTATAAGGTTGACGGAATGTCACAAAAAGGTTGGGAAGATTTAGGTACTTAATCCAATTAAAAATTTATCTACATTGTTGAGGTAAATTAAACTAACTACCAGTTTCATTACAGATACAAGCTCCTTCACAGTAAATTCATTTATTTGGAGAATAAAGCTTATACTTCATACTGTTGATATTTTATGAACTAGTAGAGATAACTACATATCAATATTATTGCCTAACTGAAATTATGTGGCAGCATTGAAAGGTTAAAAAAGAGTTGTATAGGGAAGTGAGAAATAGATAATTGCAGAGAACATGTCAAAAGATCAGATTGTTTGTTAACCAAGGAAAGTCTTTAAATTTTCTGCTATGGTTACAATTCCTAAATTTTTCATTTCCTGCAGCTGCATTAAACCACTGCAGGTGAAGATTAAGCAAAGCTTACAGTTTTCAACATCAAAGTCACATCTATGCATTTCAAGATTTAGGAACAAATGAAGAAAATATTGAACAATTTTCAATATTCTATGAAAATCTAGAGAGAGAGAGGAGAGAGATGAGAGAGAGGAGAGGGAGGGAGAGAGGGCTGCTTGACCTTTTGAACTTGGATGCTGGTTCACTCATGCATGGCTGGACCGCCCATACCGAAATAAAAAGGGAATAGTCTTTGTAGTTTGTCCAACAAAAGACGAAAACTTTCAAGTTTTCGTGATCCATTCAAACAGGCAGGCATACAGGTAAACAGGAAAAAAGCGGATCCCAAGTTCAGATCCAACCAAAAAAGAGGTATGGGATTCAACCCAGCAGAGGAAAAATAAATACATAAATAAAAACACCTCCATTCTTTTTGTTTACACTAAATTCATCTAAATTACTCGATGGCAAAGTGTTTTAACCCTAGACGCACTAGGTTGAAGAGAAATACCTGTCCAGGACAAGCCACCAGCAAAACACCACCACTCTTTAAGATCTCCAATATTCAAACAAAATGAAGAAGATATGTAGCCACTAAACATATTTGAGTTTGAACAAGATATTCGTCATAATAGATGATGACATTTAAATTAACCAATTAACAAGCACTAGAAACTGTCAACAAAACAAATACGTTCCTCGTCGCGCATCAATATTTTCTTTCTGCTCTCTTTTTCTAGCTTCCTAGCTACAGCTAGTCCAAATGGGGGGGGGGGGGGGTCAATTTTTGGTACAAAATATTATCAAAAGATGAGAGGACACACTTACGGAATAGTTGGTCGTTGTACGTGGGTAGTCAAGAAGAATAAGAAGAATGTGGGGAGTGTAACTTTTTGTTCCATCAAGATCTTGGTGGTAGGAAGAATTGCGTACCCATGTATGTGTTAATTGGAGCTGGGTATAGAGAAGAAGGATCTATAACAATCGTCGAACCCGCCACTGCCACTCCCTCATGGCCTCCACCACCGTCAATGGAAGCTGTGTTAACGGCGGTGGTGGCTCCCACGACGAGATTGAGCGGTTGGAAATTAACTCCACCAGCAGACGAGGTTTCAGCTGCCATGTTCATATTGTAGTTAGGGGATTCGGGTCCTTGGTCGTAAAGAATTCCTTTGAACAAATGGCCTGCGATGTTCACAGCCGTCTGGTACGCGTACTGATCCTCCTCGTCGATTGCGCTCACTTTCACGCAGCGAAATACCGCCGGCGAGCTCACTTCCGGCGGGAAATTCACCACATCCAACTCTACATACACAAACAATTGTAAATCCCAAACCCCAGTACATAAAACTATGTAGTTTTCATGAGAACAAAAGACCCAAAGTTGGAATATTAAATTAAGAAATTGTTTATCTTCTTTAGATTTTGTTTCTTTTAACAAAAAGAAAAAAGAAAAAGAGAAAAAGGCACACAAAAGCAAGCAAAACGGAAATATACATGAACACGGAGTTTTTAGAGAGAGAGAGAGAAAGAGAGAAACAGTGTCTTTCTTTCTTAGTTTCTTTCTTCCCTGTCAATGTTATAAACGTCAAGACTACTAAAGAACAGTATTTTTTTTTTTTTGGGAAACGAAAAGATGAAAAGAAAGAAAGCCGATGATTTCTGATGGGGTTTCTGGAAGAATTGAGTTTTTTTACTATGGAGTGTTCGACCTCTTCCTCACACGCAATCGATATTCTCCACTATTTGTTGGGCTTTTTCAAACGCTACCTTCCAAAACCCTTCCCCTTTTTTCTCTTCTTGTTCCATTCTTTCATTTTTTCACTCAAACCCTCCTTTTTTTTTATCTCAAACTATCAAAATGTCTCAGGAAAAAAATGTGTATGTATATAACATATAGTATACCTGAAGTGTTTGTGTTTGTGAGAATACGACGAGAGGGTTTCGAGCTCGGATTTTCTCTCAGTCTTTTCGAATTTTCTCCTCGAATCACTTGAAACTGCTGCTGTTGTTGGTGATGGTGGTGTTGCATATGATCTTGCTGTTGGTGATGGTGTTGCTGCTGCCGCTCACGACGTTTCGACGCCGGGACCCACGTGCTCTTGACATGGGTCGGACAGTCGAACCCTCGGCTCTTGCAGCAAGTCCTGCACCTCATGTGTATGCAGTCTTTCTTCGCTTGGTTCCCGCAGTCTTGACAGCTGGCGACTCCTCCGCTTCCTCCTCCTGACGACGACCTCATCGTCGTAAACGCCGCTGCGGCCGACCTCGACGATGAAGTGTCATCCGATCCCCTGCTGCTGGGACCCACCCCTAGAGCAGCCGCAGAAGCGTAGAGATCTTGATGGTGGTGGGGATGAGGCTGGTAGAGCCGCTGCGACGGCTGGGTTTGGAGCTGAAGGAGCTGCTCCTGTTGCTGCCACAGCTCGAAGCCCTTGTACGGCTGGTTTGCCACGTCCTCATTTTTGTACCAGAACAACGTCTCCGGAGCAATTTGATGGCGGTGGTGGTGATCAGGCGGCGGCGGGTTGTTGCTGTTATGTTGGTCGTCGCTGCCGCCTCTGCCTAATGAGAAAAAACCAGCCATTGCTGCTGCTTCTTCCTTAACCCAGACCCAAATTGTGACAGAAAATCCATATCAAATTCAAACTCCGACCCAATTCCTCTAATGGGTATTTACTATTCACCTTGAAGTTTTAATCTTTTTGTAAATGTTTGAAGAGATTGCAGTGAAAAATGAAAAGTTGAAGAGAGAGAGAGTGAGAAAGAAGTAGCTACGACTCTGTTTGGCAGCGTTAATCGCGCTTTTAATTCCTCCCCTTCACTGTGCTACTCTGTTTGTCTGTAATTTCCAAGCATTTATGACTCCCGCAGAAGTTCCCTCTCTCTGCAACGCCGCCATACCCTCTCTCTCCTCTGCGCTCTCTACTCACACAAATTTAAGTCTCTTTCTCTCTCTCTCTCTCTCGCTCTCTGATTTGTTTGCAGGTGATGAGCTTTTTAGCTCTGAGCAGTGCCTATTGTTTCTCTCTGTGTGTGTGTGTGACTGTGTAACATAAAACCTCTCTCTCTCTCTTCTTTCTCTCTCTTGGTTGGCTAGGATGTCATAATCTCATCTTCAAACGGAAGAAAGAATGAGATCAGATCACTGTTAATTCGCATGCTAATCCAACGATCGTCCTCCCCGCCACGTGTCTTAGCGCCAGCTTTTGGCTTCTTCAGTCCTTTTTGCACCGGAAAACCCGCCACTTTTCTTTAATGACTCCCCGCCCAATTTTTTTTTTTTTTTAAGAAAAATTTTGAGTTTTAATTAAATATAAAATATAAAAAATAAAGTAAATAATATTAAAATTAATTTTTATTATAAAAATATTATCTTTCGTTAAAATTAATAATATCAAAAGTTTTTCATTAAAATTTACTTTTTTTATTTCCATTTTTACTGCTCAAAATATTAGTTTTTAAATAAATCCCTCCAAATCCAAACTCACTTAACTAGAGAAAGATGATATGGAGACATTAAATGTTACTTTGTTGTTTTTACCAAAAAAAATATTAATTTGTTGGATTACCCAATCATTAATCATCTATATTGCGGAAGAAAAAAGGTTTGTGATTATCATTTTTTGAGTTATATTTTCCTTTGTCACCTAATAATTTTATTGTTAGTATGCATTAGTCTCTATTTTCAACGAAAAATCTTAAATTTGACGCTATTAACAATTTTGATATCAATATATTATATAGTAGACTCATTGAGAAAAATCATATTCATTCTTTATATCATGAATTAACATTTTCTTATCCACCTTTCCTTTTGACCAAATTGTTTATCCTTTTTTTGTGAAAATTATGGTCATCGTTACACCAAACTATAGCTGTAAAGCAAATTCTCCCCTACTCTTCTACTCACATGTGCCTTTGGAGGGTAATTTAGTAAATTTAAAATGATTGTCTCTCAGTAAAATTCCATGCTATATCTTGGTACACAAAGCAGTAAAAATTAATGTGTTGTCCAAGTAAAATTTTTACCCAAAACCAGGTCAACAATACGATATTACTTGTAAGTAGTGGTTGCTGTTGTAAATAGAGTCTTCCTTTTTTAACTTACGGCGTTCCGTGTTCAAACTTTTATCTCTTTTTTTTGTACAATTTTTTACTCTTTTTTAAATACAAGTGATTTTTTTATTTTAAACTAGTCTAAAGAGAAGGAGATGGTTTGAACCTAGAACAAACCTCCATTGTAATCTACCACTTAGGCCTTTCATATTAGATAAAAAATTGATTGTGATACCGATATTATAGGAATCACATTTTTACATTGAATTAGAGAATTCGAGTGCAATGAGAGTGATGCATAGTGTAGAAATTTCGTAAAACAATATAATTAGTGTAATAGTAGTGTTATAAGAATCAATCTTAAACATAGGTAACTTATTGTAACCACTAAGGGAAGGTGTATTTTTGCGTGCCGCCATCAATTGGTGGTAACGCTCACCACCTTATTTATCATTATTAAATCAGTTTAAATTTTGAAATTGTTGTATATTCAGATCTTAAAATTTAAATTTATTTAACGATAATAAACAGAGTAATGAATATTGTCATTACTTGTGGTAAACAAAAGTATTCTCAACGAACACTGATACAGTTGAGATTGTTAGAATAGTAATAAAAATATTATTTAATTTTTTAACTAGTTTATTGATGTAGAGAGATTTGGGCAGTGAACAATAGAAGTAGTGCATCGTATATCTAGAAAATAATCATGTTTCTCTCCCATTGTTTTATTTTAATTTATTTTTCTCTTCCAGCGCCACATCCTCGTACTTTTTTTTTTCTCTTCCATTATTATTTTAATTTATTTTGTTTACTGTTTCTCTCCCATTGTTTTATTTTATTTTTGGTTTTCACCCAATTTTACAGCATATTCTTCACGGGAGAAGCATGGTAGTTGACTCTTTGAGTACAATAGTTTCTCTCTATAGTTAGTAACACTGGTTGTATAGATCTTCGAGCTCAACTTTGGACTTAAGTTATATATAGAAATAAAATTCATTGTAATAAGTTATTTTTTTTTAGATTTCGTTTTAAGAAATTTTATCTTCATATTAATAATTAAGATGAAATAAAATATTCATCATTGAGTTGAATTGAGCTTGTTTACATCGTTACTCGTAAACATGGACTTCTTGTTATTGAGCCAAAATGTATCTAGCTTATCACGCAAGTGCTAGACTTAAAAATATGGGTGTTGTTGGTACTTGTGTGGGACAATTGTCCTACATCACCCATACACCCTCACAAATCCATCCTTATAAGTCTAGTGTGGTTTTATCGCTCGAAGGGTATGCTGTAGGCAGTTTTCCAAAAGTCATAGGCTACCTTAGTGCACTCAGTAGCAACTTTAGGTTTCCAGGGTAGCCGTCCATAGGGCGTACTGCGTAATGTGCCCCCTTCGTCTCTAGGGCCCTGTTCCTCACAGATTAGGCCATGAGACCCAAAATCCTTCAATTAGTTAAGACTTGAAAAAGACCATTGTGGCTACTTCTAGGAATCTAGGCATAAGCCATCGTGCATTTAATTATATTACGGCAGCCATGCTTATCCACATCTGGATATTCGGAGTGTAGAGTTTATCTTCCCGCTTTGGAATGCAGATCCATGTGGGTGTCGGGGAATTAGTTTACCCTCTCGCACTGGAGAGCATAGTTGGTCCCTTGAGGGGTGCAATTCCTGCGATGAGTCTTTAGGAATGGCGCGATCTTCTTTGGAAGTGCAGGAGAGATAAGTTGTTGTAGACATATAGTCAAGCCAAGTTGTAAATTACTTCTGAATTTCCCATTGAAGAACGAGTGAAACGAACGAATAACTTAACTGTAAAAACTACATAACAACTGGATAGTCCTTGGCTTATGAGGTGGTGCCCAATAAGCTGCTTGAGTCTTCAAATCTTGATATAATGGAAGGTTACACATGGTACTTCCTCAAGTTATAGGTGTTCCACTGTTTTTCGATCTCCTTGTCGTTCATAGTGGCGAGGGTGTAATTACCAATGCCGTCTACTCTGCTGATCTTGTACAGACCATCCCAAATGGGATTCATCTTTTTGGAGTCTTATCTGCGGGCAGTGATGAATGCCTTTCTTAGGACTAGATCTCCAGGTTAGAACTACCGTATTTTAGCCCTTTTATTGTAGCTGGAGATGAGCTGTAGCTGGAGATGAGTTGTTGCTGGTAGGCTGCGATGCGGGTGATGGTCTGCTCGGGCTTCTCCTCTGCCAGATCTAAGCTTGTGGTCATCTCCTTATTGTTCTTCTCAATGCTTGGCAATAAAGTGCTGATGCTTGGCACGAATTGGAAGAAATAATTGCTTCCGAACCAAATGCTAAAGAGAAATGAGTCTCACCAGCTGCTCGTCTTTTAGTGGTGCAATATGCCCATAGACATCCGAGGAGTTCGTATGGTCATTTTCCCTACTTGTCGGTGAAGGATTTCTTGAGGCGATCGAGGATCGTCTTGTTGGATGCTTAAGCCTGCCCATTGCCTTGAGGATATCTCAACATGGACATGTGCTGCTTGATGCCATATTTTTAGAAGAACTTCGCCAAATCTTTGCCCACAAATTGCGGGCCTTCGTCAGTGATAATGGACTAACGGATGCCAAATCGGCAAATAATGTTCCTCCATATGAAGCGCGCTATGTCTGTCTCAATCGTGGTCGTCATGGGATCTACTTCTACCCATTTGGTGAAGTAGTCGGTTACCATGATCATCATGCCTCTGCCCCCTGTAGCAAGCTGCATAGGTCCTACCAGGTCGATTGCCCATTGTATGAACGGCCAATGACTCGTTTGCGGGTTTAGCTTGCTAGCATGCAGTGCTGGTACCGGCTTGTAGTGTTGGCAGCAGTCGCATTTTTGTACTAACTCCTTAACATCTTGGTGCATGGTAGACCAGTAGTAGCCTACGTTAAGATCCTTATGTGCTAAGGATCGGCCTCCAGAGTGATTTCCACAAACGCTTTCGTGGATTGAGTTTAGAACCTTTAGGTCGTCATGAGGCATTAGGCTGGGGAGATGTGATCTAGTGTAGGATCTTTAGACGAGAATGTTGTTCCACATGTAGCAGCGTGTTGCCTTTATTTGGAGCTTTCTAAACTCCAACCTTTCCTTGGGGAATGTGCCATTGACTAAGTAGTCTATAACAGAACTTTGCCAGTTTGGAGTTGTACTAACCTGTGACATTTTGGCTGCTGGCTCCGCTTCTATGCTTGGCTTGTTTAGATACTCCATCGGAATATAGCGTTTGAGTTGGTTGTTAAGGGTGGAGCCTAGACCGGCTAGTGCATCCATTTGAGCGTTGTTTGCCCACGGAACGTAAGTCTGAGACGCCTCAAGTAGTCTAGCTAGTGATTAGCTGGGAATCAGAATGAATTACGAGCTTTTTCATTGCCAAGTCTTTTGCCATTCAGAGGCCTGCTAGTAGGGCCTCGTACTCTGCTTCATTGTTGGATGCTTTGAAGCCTAGAGTGATCGCCTACTCAAGCATTGAACCGTGTTGGGTGACAAGGACCACGCTTGCCTCTGACCCTTCGTAGTTGGATGCATTGCCTACATGCAAATGCCAGAAGTCTCCATCGGGTAGAGCAAGCGTTGTTAGGGAGTGCTCTGCTACCTCCGGGGCTTCGTTGGGTCACCCTGTTGCGTCGTAAATGCGCGGTAGGGAGTCGTGGAGTTGGGCCATATTATACGTAGCAGGAGATACTCAACTGCCGATATTGGGCGACTCTAGAGCTGAATTATGGAGCAAGGATCGGCTGGGGCCGTATGACATGTAGCAGGAGATGATGTTCAATTGCCGGTACATGTTGCTCCTATGTAGAATCTTTTGGGGCGATGGACAAAACTTGCTTCCGATTGTGTCCTTTTAATGTTCGTTTGCCCTTGGGGTTCGTCAGAAAACTTTGCATCCGCTAATGTCTACGACTTTATCGTCGTGCTTCAGGATTGGGCGGAATAATGCGTTATGAGGATGACTGCGTGAGTCTGAAGGTAAAACTTGAGCTTTCAAGTTGCAACAACTATTACCAAAGTTAGCTTTTGAATTTCT